ACAGGAGACCAGGTCAGGTGATGAAAAATGGGGCAACGCCGGCTCTCTGTGACATGCTTATTCGTAGAGCCGAAGATCAGCAAGGATGTCCGTGGGCACAGAAACTGGATTAAAGCACGTCTTTTAAGAAGATCTCTCATCTCGTATGAAAGGCTCCCAGTGCCTTTCATCTCGTTGTTGACTCCCACCTGCGTCTCTCCAGGGCCGAACTCGCCCAGGCTCCGGTCGCTGCATCGCGCTGGCCTTCGTCCTCCCGACGCACAGCCCCTCCTTTGAGCGGTCTCTGGTGGGCGCGTGCCTGACCTACGGACAACTGCAATGACCCTGCAAGTGCTATCGTGGAGGGACACGGGGCCTAATAACGGCAAGCCTGTACCATTTTAGCCGGCAGGGATTTCAACGTGCTCACCAATGGAGCCAGGTGTGCCACAGACGCAAGGGGCATGTCCTGAAATAGGGAGGCCATTTACTTTTTTGGGTAGTCCAGCTGCCTGCGCTAGTGCTGGTACCTTAAAGGATTACGGTATGGCCCTGGGCTGTGGATGTGCGAGTGAGCTGAGGCTAGCTCTTGAATCGCCGCCGGGCATGGAAGAGCTCCCTCCCCTGGGAAGGCATCTCTTCAACAGCTGCTTGGACGTCCTTGCAACCAAGTGACTCACTGTATTGTAAACCCTGCAGTCGTGGACCAGGCTGGCATGTCCCGTGGGCGCCTTTCGCCACTATTTAAACTTCCCTGCCATCTCCCTCAGCATCTCATATACTCCGACTGGAGCTTGGAATAGGGTTACTCTCTGTCAGAAACTGTACGTTGGGGGGCAAAGCCTGAAATTGTGCAGTTCCAACTTGGAAAGGACCAGATAAAAATGCTTTTATGTCTGAAAAGGTCAAATATCTTGAGGAGCTTCACTTTCAGAGTACCTCTGATAGACCCTCATCTTTTCTTGGGCTCTACAGGTTGCTAGAAAGGCGTAGGCCTGACGAGCAGAAAACAGTCAAAGCCTTTAGACGGCACCTGGCAGAGAGAGCTTCAGCGCTTGCTGTGAAGCTGGGAGACGTGCGGCTGGAGCGGACCGAAATCTTTTTCCAAGCTCCACTATAATCAGAAAGATGATGCTTGATGGTACTGAAGAACAGAAAATGTTGAACAGCTTGTGCATTGTATTCAATCATAATAGCTTCGATATCTGAATTTCTCATATTCCTGTGACGAGTCCTGGGAGGCCCTGAAGTCGCTGATGGCGATTGACTGCCCGGGCCCGCGTGACTGCTAAATCAGGGACAGACGCCGACCCATTTGGTGCTGCGCCTGCAGGACTGCCTCTGCCTGCTCACAATGATCCTCTCTAGGTCTGAGTGCGAGGGTCCAGCCCGCTGATGCTAACAGCGATCGAGACCCCCACAGTAAGGCTTGTTCCCGAACACAGCGGGATGGCAGGACACAGAACTGGAAGGGACTTTCTCTGTCCGTGCTAGCATAGGTTATGCCGTTATACACTCCCCTTCATAAACCGATCCAGTATGCGACCCCTCTGGCATCATATCCTCCACTTCACAAGCAGATCCAGCTTCATCCTAACACTAGATTTGTGCCCCAGCTGCTATTTTTTGGAAGGCTGTCCCATCACTACTTGCTGGCACGGCAGACATCTGTTGAGGTGACCCCACTTAATGCTCTGGCAGTCTCCCGATGCCTTTTGAAGGGGGAGACGCAGGGTCTGCCTCACCCGTCTCGGCCCTAACCCATGGAGATGTCAGACTTCGATACCAATGCTGGGACTTGGCTGATTTATCAACAGTGACCGTTGTATTCCTTCACCTGTAGGGACTTGAACACGTGGGGAATCCCAGGCTGGAGGAAGCCTGCAGCGCTGCATCCATTTGGGTTTTTTTCTCGTTTGTTCTCTGGTTCAGCCCACGATACGGTACCTGCCTGCTGGGGCACTTGCAAGGAATAATCATCTCAAATCTTAATTGGTTGCTGTTTCTCCTTCTGCATTACAACACCGGCTTTCAAAGACAGCTCAACTAATGTACTTTAAGGCCTGGTGTCTGGATTTTTGGCTGTGAGATGAAAGCTGGGCAGCTTTCAGGAAAAGACGTATCCTCGCTGCAGCAATGGCATCTGCTATGCCCGCTCTATTTCTGCTAGAAAATCTGTGATGGTCAGGGCTTAAACCGTGACAGCTGGGAATCTGCCTGACGACTGTCACATATCCTGTTTCACCCTACTGCAAGTGTGGATGGGTAGGGGACTGACGAGTTGGAATATACGTGTATGTACGTACTTTGAAACGGCCAGCGTGGCTAGAACAGATGGGGAAGGAAAGTATTGCTTCAAAGAAGACAGTCAAAAATGTCAAAGCAGAAGGTGAGAGGTAATTTGCAGGCTGGACGCTGTGCCGGACAGGGCACGGGAGGGTGCGGGCGCTCTGCCCTCTACGCCTTCTCACGTGGGAGACCAAGGAGGTGCCGGCCGCAGCTCGGGAGAGGCTGGGAGGTTGCACTCAGGAGATGCTAACCTGCGCACTTAAAGAAAAAGTTGTCTGTTATTAGAAAGACATTTGGTGCCCCATGAGGCAAGAGGTCAGTCAGACTAGACGCGAGAGACTTCGCTCACAAAGTAGTGTTCAGTCCAGGAAGTGAGAAGCACCACGGGCTACGCTTTGGGCATCTTTGTCTTAAGGAGCGGAGTCGGTCTGTAACTCCCAGGTTCTGGACAAGCCCGCTCTTTCACCCGAATTCGCTAAAAGGCGTCCTTGTCCTTGTCAACCCAAACGTGTCCGGCTGTGCAGGGTCTGCACAATGCGTACACTTAATGGGGAAGTATTCAGAAAAATAAATGTTGAAATCATTTAGGTGCAGCTAGCTCACACGTGCAGCCAACTGATCTTGTCCTGGAAGTTACAGAGGGACTACTCTGGGGTTTCTATATTGTTTAGTTCGAATGAGGACTGCAACCCTGACCGGAGGGGGTTTCCTTGCCTCTTTCGTACACCTCCTCAATAACACATACAAACAACCTTTCAAGTCCAGTTTCTCGCTCCCCGCAGGGAGCATTAATTGCCGTACAGTTTGGGACAAACAGGAACCAGTGCCTCACCGGAGACTTCCCTGTCTTGCTTGAACATACTTTTGCAAGAATTAAAGAAATACAAGGTTCAGTTGACTTTGCATTCGTTTGTGTCTTTACATGCATATATTAATTTAAAATACAAAAGCTACTGAATATCAACCCCAATTCAATTCAGAGATACAGGCACCTCAGAAAAGATACTACATGGCTGGATTGTGCCTTGTGGGAAGAGCAGGCAAAAGCAAAGGCAATGAAACGCACTGATTGTATGAAATGTTGACAGCCAGGACAAACACGCTCGAGGTCCCCTCACCCGAACGGCGCTGCCAGAAGACCGGCCTTTCCAAAACGTCTTTAGAGGTAACGCTCGATAAAAAAAGTTAGTGTTGGCTAGTAGTTCCTTAGTCACGTTTATGTAGTGAAAAGTACGGATACAAGGAAATTGCACTTTAGAACAAAGAAAAACCAGCTTTGGCAATCAACCACTTGTTCTACGAGCACTGGAAACGCACGTTGCAGTGGCAGCGACATTTCATTGAATCACAGAAACCGAGGGCTGAAGGGAGCTCAGGAGTCACATCTAGTCCAGCCCCTGCTCCAAGCAGCACCAGCCCCAGCTACATCATCCCATCCATCCGGGTCTTCAAAACCTCCAAGGATGGAGAGTCCACCACTTCTCTGGATAACCCATCCCAGTGCTTCACCACCCTCCTCGTGGGAAAATTCTTCCTAATATCCAACCTCAGCTTCCCTGGCTGCAGCTTGAGCCCATTGCTCCTTCTGTCATCTGCCCCCACTGAGACAAGCCCCGCCCCATCCTCTGTGCAGCCCCCCTGCAGGGAGGTGAAGGCTGCTATTCAACCCCCCTCGGTCTTCTCTTCTGCAGACTCAATCAGCCCAGTTCCCTCAGCCTCTCCGCACCAGTCCTGTCCCCCAGCCCCACAACCATTTTTGCTGCCCTTCACTGGACTCTCTCCACCTTGTCCACATCCTTTCTGTCGTGGAGGGCCCACAACTGGACGCAGGACTCCAGATGTGGCCTCCCCCGTGCTGAATAGAGGGGAAGGATCACTGCCCTTGATCTGTGACAACGCTCCTAGCAATGCAGCCCAGGATGCCGGTAGCCTTCCTGGCACCAAGGGCACACTGCTGGGTGCTGTCCAGCTTCTTGTCCCCTGTCCCCCCAGGTCCTTTTCATATGTTTATAGATCGTTAGGGGCTGGAAGGGACCTCAGAAGATCATCGGGTCCAGCTCCGTACACCAGGCAGGGAAGAAAACTGGGGTCGGGCAACCCCAGCGAGGTGACTGTCCAGTCTCCTCTTGAAGATTTCCAGGGTAGGCGATTGCACCACCTCTGGAGGGAGCTTATTGCACAGTCTGGACACCCTAGTTGTGAAGTAGTTTTTACTGATGTTGAGCTTGAAACTGTCTTCCAGGAGTCTGTGACCATTACTCCTGGCTCTCCCCAAGGGACAACACCAACACCGAGCCCCTTTCTGCAGAGCTGCTGCCCACCCGGTCCCCCCAGCCTGCACCGGTGCAGGGGACTGTTCCCTCCTCGGTGCAGGACTTTGCACCTGTCCTTGTTGAACCTGATGTGATTCTTTTTGGCCCAATCCTCCCATTTGCCGAGGTCACTCTGAATCCTAGCCCTGCCCTCCAGCGTATCTACTGCTCCCCCCAGCTTGGTGGCATCTGCAGACTTGCTGAGGGTGCGCTGCATCCCATCTTCCAGGTCACTGATCAAGACATTGAAGAAAACCAGCCCCAGGACTGACTCCTGGGACACTCCACCTGATACCAGCTGCCAACTAGAAATCGAGCCATTTGAAACAAGTTAGAAGAATACCAGTGATGAAAAATTCATTTTCTCTATTTTTACCTCTTGTGAAGCGAAAAACAGCCACTGCTGCAATGGATACCGACCTTTTCGTTGGAGTTGGTGCTCCAGAGGACATGTGGGTAACCATGGTGTCATTCATGTTAGTCAGAGGCCGAGGAGGACTAAAATAGAAATATTTTTTTCCAGTTAATTATTTAAAATAAGCCTAAGTAATACAGATAAAGGTATCAACAAAAGTACATCCTGGGGAAAATGCTCTTGGTGCACCTATTTTCAAATAATTGGGGATAGATGGGAGTCGCACAAGTAACAATACGAGGTCTCAAGTAAAACGCTATTCAAATATTTAACCGCAGCAGCGAATGGTGTGCACGGAGGGACCTGTACATCCTGCTGCTCCGTGTGCAGAATGCTTTCAAGAGCTCAAGCATCAGGTTAAAATGAGCATCTAGCTTTTTGGAAAATTGATAACTCCATTAGTGAGATGTGCAATTTTCTAGCAATTCAGGGTGCCTGTACACAAAGGCGGAGGCTGCTCCGGCGTGCTGCAATTACCGCGCTCCAGCAGGCTCCTGCATCTCGTGTGTCAGCATCCTCACGCTTAAAAATAGCAGCGGGGGCACTTGAACTAAATAAAGCTCATCGAACAAGCTTTAGTTCAAGCGCCCCGCCACCATTTTTAAGTGTGGGGGTGCTGATACGTGAGATGTGGTGGCACTTTAATCAGAGCTGCTCTAATTAAAGCACCAAGCCCACCCCACCCCCGTCATCCCTGGAGCACGTGTAAAAGTGCCATAAGTAACCAAGAAAACATGTGAATTGAAGTGATTTTAATATATATATATATATATGCTGTACTATGTAAATTGGTTACATTCGTGTTTTCAAGTGAATATGATGGTGGTAGTCAGCTGTCAGACTGACAATGCTGGAAACCAAATTTCTTTGTCCAGAGAATAAATACAATATGAGGATATGTGGAAATATCCACATATAATAAATAGAAAATAATATTACAGAAAATAATATTACTGTTATTCCTATTTTTATACCCTTGCAGTTTGCTCAGGCACGTGAATGACGGGGACCACGCGAATGATGTCAACACCCAAGAGAGAAAGTGTATTAATGTCACACTGAAGGCTTCCCTCACTATGGCTTTAATAATGTGGTCAAGTCACCAAAAGTCACTAAGAAAAAAAAGTCACGTTTAACAATATTTCCCCCCAGTAGTGTCCACGGTACACCACGCAGGACTTGACTCTCACACGCGTGTGCCAACCTGCCCTCCATGGACAGAGTCAAGGAATCCCAGCGCGATGCCAGGAAGAAGCCAGGCTCCCGCCACGCAGGAAGACAACAAATCCCGTGGTCTAAGCATGGGTCAAGTTCCTTCCTGACCCCAAAGGGCATGATCGGTCTGGCTTTAAGTCCTGCAGGAGCACTGGCATGGCCCCGTCACCGTCCCCGTCCCCAGCCTGGGCTGCAGCCGACACCCCAGGTGCAGACAGAAGGGACGATCTTTGCCTGGATCTGGCCCCCGAGAGCGCTCTACAGCCACGACCGGACACAGGCGTACGGCTGCCAAGTGCTGTAGAGGGGCCCGAACCTGTGAAAATCTGCATGAGGGTCCAGATGAAGACGTTTCAAAGCATGGTGTCTTCGGTAACTTGTGTCGGCGCTGCCTCCCGCCCCCGTGCTGTTTTCAGAGTGGGAGGGAGGAAAAGGGAGAAGAGGGAGTTCGGTCTGGGGTTTTATCACCCGGAAGGTGGGGTGGGTGGATTGGGGCCCCCGCCCCGAAGTGAGGGGCCCTATCCACCCACCCCCCACCCCCAAACGCTGGCTGGGAAACCCCTAGAAGGAGCTCCCCTTGCTCCCCCCTCCCACTCGGAGAGCAGCACCTGGGCTGGGAGGGAGGAGGGCTGTTGCTAGCGGAAACCAGGTGCAGGCTTGCAGCCAGCAGCTGGACTCCCCAAGACCCCCTTCCCCTTCCCCTTCCCCTTCCCCTGCAGCCTAAGTGCCTTTTCTGCAAGCTGAACATGCCCAGCTCCTTCAGCCTCTCCTCGCACGATGTGCTTTCTAAGCCCTTGATCATTTTTCTTGCCCACCTCTGGACTCTCTCGAACTTACGTACGTCCTGTTTGAAATGTGGAGCCCCAGCCTGCACGCAGTACTCTAGATGAGGCCGAACCAGTGCCGAGTAGAGAGGCACGATCGCCTCCTGTGTCTTGTACCTGATGCTTCTATTGATGCAGAACAAAACCACATTTTTGTGCCGCTGCATCACACTGCAGACTCAAATGAAGCTGTGATCTATGAATACCTGAGCTACACACATAAACATATTGCAAATGACCTTCATACTTTTATACATGCATTTTGGAAAATGTGATCCTAACATCTTGACGATTTTGTCCAAGTCTAATGGATATTTGAATGCAATGTTCACGATATACTTAGGCTTCATTGAGAAAATCACTGCAGTCAGAGGGAAGAATGTTTTTGTAGTACTATCTTTTATTGGACCAACTGTGTAGCTGGGACAGCTGGTGGACAAGCTGGTCCAACAGCTCTCCCAGCAATGCTGCTGGTCCAGGAAAAGATGCCATTAAGAGACCTTGCCTCTCAGACAGCTCCTGCGGCATCACAGCGACACCACCACCCCAGCCCCACTTTAATACCTGCAAATTGCAAATTTTGGTGCAGGATGTATTTCAGCCTAAGTGGCCCCCTCATGCCAGCAAAATGACACTTAATGGTACAAAATGCTTCTGATCTGGACTAGGAAATGACAAAGACTCCCCAGCTGATGCACGTACCAAATTTCAGCAACTACCAGTTTTTGTGGAAATCGGACCCAACTATGAAAGCATCATTTGTTTGCCAAAGATGTAAGTTTGTGAAGACTCTACCCTTGGTACGTCTTATAGAGACTTTTCTCATTTGCAATTGGTTTGCAAATTATGATTGCCTTTATGGAAACTTTCCGAGACAAGTTTCCATGATTTTCCAGCAATACGCATACTGCAAGTCTCAGTTGCTCACGCTGCTCTCGATATATGTTGTCTGACCGAAACATTTCCTGACATGAATGACAAACGCAGCGGTCTGGAAGAGGGAACTTTGGACTGGACCAGGAAGCAGAAGAACAATTCTAGCGCTGTGGAAAAATAACGTAACAAGCTGGGAGTGATACACCGTGGTACGTTTAGAACCATTTAGTTTGCTACTGAACATTCGAATGCATTCTCTGCTATTTCCAGTTAACACAGAATATAATATAGGTTTCAGTGTTCTCCGCACCCGGTGTCAGGAGTGCCTTCCCCAACTCCAGCATGGCCTACATTAAAAAGCTTTGGTGACAGAAAATGTGTCCTGTTAACAGAAGTTTGGTGCCTTCACGTACAAAGTGCTCTTAACTCAGTAACTCTCAGCCGGGGTGATGGGGTACCCTAGGGTGCTGCCAGATCCTTTGAAGGACGCCCCAAGGTGTGAGGAGCTAAGCAGATAAGTGCAGGCTCACCCCCACTGCAAGGGGGCAAGCACTGTAACATATACATTTGTTTCTGAAATTGGGTGCTTCTCAATTCACAAAAGTTGCAGAGGGCGACTTGAGTCCAAAAGGTCAAAAACCACTGCTTTAATTCAAAACTCCAGGTTCCCGCCAGCTGATTTAACGTATGTCGATCCTCCAGAATAATCTCCTGAAGCTCCTCTAGCAGGAACTCCCCTGCCCAGTTTGGAGAATGGAGTCGGCTGTTGCCTACAAAAGCTGATGCCTCTGAACAAGTTAGTCTCTAAGGGTGTGTACACATGTACTACCTTTCTGACAGTTAAGCCGGCTTAACTTTTTTTAAAGCCAACCTAACTGTCAAAGCATACACATGTATGCGGAGCAGAGTCGACTTAAATGTGGCACCTCCGAGGTGTATTATCTTGAGCCTCGTTAATTAAGTCGACTTAGCTCACAAAATGGCTGCCACCATGTCAAGGAGCTGTATGTGTGTATGCTCCAATGTGGCTTAACTTAAGTTGGCTTAGTTAAGCTGCCTTATTTTAAGTCGACTTAGTATGTGTGTACATACCCTGAGGTGCAGCCCCACCTTGCCTTCCAGCAGGATCCGGCGAGGCTATATTTGCATGGTGGCAGCAGCAGAAGGGTTCTGCAACGCCTTCCCCTAACGAGCAGTCTTGCTGCCCAGGAAAGTGTATAGGGAGTGTTTATAGCTGTCTATTCCTCTGTGCAACTCCCACAAGTTCCCTGTCTTTTTTACCAGTATCCTCAAGCACGCTGGCCTTGAGCAGGGCACCCTTGACAGGAGCAGCAAGGCTGATAGTGATGAGGAGCTGAACGAGGTGCTTGAGGGAGGCCGTGTCTGTGTGTCTGCTGAAATGCATGGACGTGGCTGAGAGGCGGTGGACGCGGCAGGCAGTCTGGGAGCTGGAGTGGAAGGAGAACATGCTGTGAGAGTGACAGGAGGCGAGGGGGGCAAAGCAGTACAGGGACTGAGGTGGCAGACAGAGATGCTGCAGAAACAGATAGATACCAAGCCCAGTGCGTGACCCCCTACTTCCAGCCCCGCACCCCGCACCACCAAAGGCACAGACAGTTCTATGCCTCCGGCGTGCCAGCTGACCCAGGAGTGGCGAGTGGGAACGAGTATCACGGCTTCACATCCATTAGTGAGTAGACGTGTTCCAAGATGCACTTTCTCTTTTCTTGAGACTGCAATTCCCAGTATTGGCAGATTTGTGTTGCCTGCTGCCTCCCTGCGGCTTGCTCGCTACAGCCGTCTTCGTGCTCTCTCAGGTGTTACTCACTTTGCTGCTGTCTAGGTTCCCCTACGCTGTAGGAGGGGAGGGTAAAAGCAGTCCCCCGAATTGACATCAGGCATTTCCATGGCAGTCAGGGACGGTTGTCCCCACATTTCAGAGAGACCTTTGTACGGAGGCATGCAGGCACCATGCATTTGTCCTAATGTCTGCATGCCAGGCCCACACCCTGTGGAGAAGTACCCCTTGTACCCCAATCTTTGGGGGGGTACAATAAGCAGGAGTCTGATTGCCCTACTGCAGGTTGGGATCCTAGTACACCAAACCTCTCAGTCTGGAGGATGTGCCTGCTGGCTCTGCACACTTGGTGACAACAACCCTGACGGTG